ATGTTTAGATTGAGATTGGATGCTAATGACATAGCAAAGACATTATCACGCCATAAAATAGGAGTAGAACAAGGCATAGATAAATCCTTGAGTAACTGCTGCAACCAAACGATCTTAGTTGTGGTGTGGGCCATGGACCTATATTATGCCTTATTTGAGGAACGTGATATTGCAAGATGCTTTTTAGCAGACGAAGAAATGAGATTTGGATCCAAAAAGACACAAAAACCAGACATTGATCTTCTATCAAGACAATCCCCAACCCAATTGGAGTTTGTATAAACATGAAAATGAAAGGGGCCAGGACTGAAGCTGAGACCATGAGTTATAGTACCTTTAAAGTATCCAAGCAATCTTTTGACCATATCAAAATGAGCAAGAGTAAGAGCTTGTATATGCTACCAAGCTTGATTCATTGCCAAAGCCAAATCAGGCCTAGTGATAGTCAAATATTGCAAGGCACCTACTAGACTTCTATAAAAGAAGGTTGAGAATAAGGTAAATCATCTGAGGGAGAAGAAGACTTGAGAGCCAAAGGAGTAGACCATGTCTTACACTCCACCATTCTTGCTTTTTGTAACAATTCACTAGCATACTTTTGTTGTGAAAGAAAGAAGCCTTGAGAGTGAGCGTAAATTGAGATGCCAAGAAAGTAAGAAATATTGCCAAGCTCTTTCATGGAAAAGGTAGTATGCATCTTAGTGAGAAATGTGTGTATAGTGATCCCGGTTTTGACCCGACTATTGTGGTATCCCGAACTCGGGTTTAATATTTTCATATTGTTGCTTACCTCTTTCTTCCCTTATATCTCTTTGAAATTGACTTTTGGGTTGTTGTGATTGTGTTTGGGCAGGTTGATCGCTTGTTTTTCAAACCTTGTGTTGCCTAGAATTTTGGTTCTTCGCTCGAGCAGCGCTTCCTACGCTCAAGTGGGCTTTGTAAACACTCAGTACTTTTGCAGGTCTGCAAAAGTGCTGGGAGAGTGATTCCTATGCTCGAACGGCATTTCCTACGCTCGAGCTGGTGGGCGCTTGAGCGGCCTTTCTTGCACTCGAGCATTGGTCTGTTGCCTGCAAAACTACTGGATGTGTGTTTTCCACGCTTGAGTGTCACTTCTGGCGCTCAAGCAGTGAGTGTCTTGTCAATTGTGTCTTGGCGCTCAAGCGGAACAACTTACTATGTCTGACGCTCGAGCGTTAACTCTTCCGCTCGAGCGGACTGTGCGTATATCAGATCGCGAAAATGACTTTTTACATCACTTTTTTAGATTTTTTCTCCCTAAAACCTAAAGTTGAGACCCTCTCTCTTTAAAACACTCTCTCACTCTACATTTTCACCTAGTTTTAGTGATTTCAAAAAAAAAAAAAAAAAAGGGTTAAAGAGTTGATTGAAAAGAAAAAAAGCATATGGTTTCAATTGAAGTAAGGAATAAAAGTTTGGATTCATCCTTATTTTTCTTTCGTCAATGTATTTATCAAGCTAAACAACAATTTGTAAATTTGTATTGTTTTCAAAAATAAAAACAATGAAAGTTTTGGAAAGAACCATTATTTTTATTTTTATGCAACAAAATATATTTCAAAAATCATAAAACAATTTAAAATATTTTCTTAAAAATAGACATTTTCAAATAACTTCTCCAAACAATTTGCTAACAAGCCTCTACTGTTTCTATTCTTGATAATAGAAAATAGAAAGGGATATCGATACCACAGAGTGGCCAGACTCTTCCTTGTCAATCGACCAAACCCATGCCAATGTTTTAATTATCATGCAAGCGACAAGCTTTGGACATGTCATCTCTATTGCATATGCTAATATCATATTGAATTGTTGATCATAAATTTCTTTACAACATCAAAATAAGGAGAAATGGAAGAGATAGCTTCAAGAAATCCCATGGGTTATACTTTAGACCAAAAGACCTTTGTTGAAAAATAAAGCTTAAACTGCTAGAGTGAGGGATAACTATATTATTAAAATTAATTACATTTAAGATCTATACATGTTTACTAAAATCTCACTTTAACAAATGCCACTAGTAATTGTAAACATCAACCACTTGTTGAGGATCGGGGGCACACCAGGGAACTCAAACAAGCAATAACACACAAATTTTAACGTGGTTCGGCAAGTCGCCTACGTCCACGGGCAGCGGATTCACTATATTGAACAAAATGGTGAATTACAACACTCTCTGTAATTCTCTCTCTCTTTGCTCTCAACTCACACCTCTCAGCTCCACATCTGATATCTATATCCTCTCCCTCCCGTCTCTATTTATACACAAAGGAGTAGGTGGGAGAGCCCTCATTCTTTGACTTTTGACATGGTTGGTGGCCTTCCATTGTTGACATGAGGTTGGTGGCCTTCCATTGTTGACATGAGGATCACCCCTTTCACATGGGGTGTCCTCCAGAATCTGTAGCCAATTCAACACCACTTACACGATAAGTCAAATCACAATTTCGCCTTTCGTCCATCTGATATTAATAAGGCTAACAAAAATGTTACGGGTTGACTTTCATTAACTGTAGATCGATGGAAGGATCATATTACAATTTGACATAAAACGTTATAGGTTGACTTTGAAAGTGAAAAGATATAAAAATGTAGCAGTGCTACCTGTATTTAATCTTTATTATTTACGTCTTCAAATACTTTATTTTCCAATAATTTTTGTTATTTCATTGTCAAGAAAATGAAAGACAACACTTCTCATGTCAAGAAAATGAAATACAACACTTCTCAACAACCAAATCGATATGGAAAATGCTATAGGTTCCAAATGACCAAAATTTGTTTGGTAGAAAATTTGATATCCCTAACATTACCTAATGGATATTCATGGAAAACAATGGGAGTTCATGAATTTGAGGTCATTGAGTCACAATCCTAGAAGTTGTTGATTGGGGTTAGGGAATTACAGGAAGGGTGACTGTAGAAAAGAATACCTACCGTTTTTGATTTGGAAAAATTACAAAAAAAAGAAAAGAAAAAGAACATGTGGGACATGAACTCACATTTCCGAAAGAAATCGCCCACATGCTTCTTCATTGAAAAATTACCAAATACTTTTAGGCACGAGTTAAATTGTAAAAATGGTGCATAAAAAACCCTAATAAATAAAGTTTGAGATTGCATTGATCAAATCAAAATCTTAAAATTGGATAATTATTCAGTAGTCTCAAAATATCATGCGATATATTCACATGATACTCCCAACCAATAACGTAGCAAAAAAAAAAAAAACTCAATGAATGTGACAATTGTAACGGACATACTTTTGTCGCTTAACTTTTGATGTATTACATGTAACTTCAAGCCAAGGGCTTTATGTGTAAACGAGTTAGTACTCTTTTGTTGTAACCAAGTGTTAACTTGGAAAGCTGTAAGCCTGTAGGGCATTTTGTTATGATGTTAACATGTAATACTTATGTAATGGAACTCTAAGGAATAAAGGAATGTGGTTAGTTTATATGTAAATACATGTCTTCTCTGATGGGTTTAATGTTGTTATTTTGAGGGCGTTACAAAATAATACTCCAGCAGAGCTGTGGGCTTTAAGGGTTGGTTTCCACTTTCCACTTGACTTGGGATAAGTTGGAAGTGGAACATCAACAAAATCTCAATTACATAAACAATCACTAGAGGATTTGAATTCCAACTGAAGTACATAGATTCCACTCAATAGACAATCTCGTTTGAAAACTTATTTTAATAATTTTTTTGACTTTTTATGAAAAGATGTAGAGAAAAATAAAAATAATAATGTAACAATTTATAATGATTTTATTTTTTTGACTAAAATATTTAATTTCCAAACGAGGCCGAGTATCTTTCTTAAATTAAGTGTGCACTGTACACAATTTATAACAAGGACAATTTTCATGATTCACTTGTATGAACCTGTTGCAAATGACATCCCATCATTTATTTTTTAATCTTTTTGAATTTTTACATATTCCATTTTAGATTTTCTGGGTAAAGACTCAACCCAAAAATAAAAATAAAATAAAAAAATTGTAGATTATTAAACTAACGAGACTACTCACTAAGAGGTCAAAGGTTTTGACTATTCCCATTTGTGAGTATTCTTCCCTTTCTATTTATTTTATTTTTTTGAGGTCTTTTTTGCTGTGTGACTGTATGTTCATAGTATGCTTTTAAAAATGCATTTATTTTATTTTATTTGAGGTCTTTTTTGCTGTGTGATTGTACGTTCATAGTATGCTTATAAAAATGCATTATTGATTTTTCTTACATAGTTAAATTGTTAAATATATAGTCCGGCATAAGTCTCATTTTCCTACCAATTGAAAAGACCAACATTTTAATTGGTTTTCCATTTTAACAAAACCTGTGTTACTTGCACTTTTAGTGATTTGTTTTCATGAAGATTCAATCATGGATAGTATATGTGCTCTGGTCCTGCTATGCTCTGGTTGATGCTGAGATTGGTTTTTTGTCTGGGTGGCAGATTGTCTGTGGTGGTTGAGGGTCTGTTATGCTATTCTGCTGGCCTGCTGGCTGTTTGGGTTGTTTGTTGATGGGTTGGATGGTTGATTGGGTTGTAGTGCAGGTCTAGTGGCTGTCCGGGCTGAAGGCAAGATGGTATGCTAGTTGTATGGGCTGTAATGCTGGTTTCTGGTGTATGGGCTGAAGGCAAGATGGTCTACTAGTTGATTGGGCTGTTATGTGCTGTTTTGCTGGTTGTAGGTGTCCTTGTGGTGAAGTTGTTTCGTTGTGTGTGCTGTTCTTTGTTGTCTTCTTTCTGGTTTTTGTGTTTTTTTTTTTTTTTCTTCTCCTTCTTTTGTTATCTTTTTGTTGGTTTCTCACCAACTGGCGCTTGGTGCTTTGTGCTTGCTCCAAGCTCCTCTTTATTGATGTAATCTATCTTTTTTGGTTGCTTTCATCAATAAAGTTTTTCTTTGCCGATCCAAAAATAAAAATAAAAATAAAATAATAATAATAATAATAATATGCATGGTTGTAGAAAAGCAAGGACAAAATAACATGATTGTAGAAAATGATGTACCAAAATTCAGAGAGTTCACCGTTCCAACATGAAAAATAAGAGTCAGTGGAGTGCTGCGCGATACTTGTTAAGATTTGATATGATAATTACAACTTAAAGATCTGCTGCCGAATACTGCAAGTCTGTTTTTGCTGCAAGAGAATAGAGAACATAAATTATAGTCAATTGCTGTCATCATTTAGAAAAGAAGCAGTATAACAATAATAAGCAGCAAAGAACACAGAAAGCCAAGAAAATATGCTCTGCAAAAAGAAAAATCATTGTGTTAACACCATAAATCTGCAATTTTTATTATTATTTATTATTTATATAATTGCAGGATACGTGGCATCCTCTTATTCATTTGGAAGTTAAAAGAAGTTATAGAGATAATGGAGAATATGAAGGACAAAGTGGATGAGTGGGAGGACAAAGTGGATGAGTGGATTGACACATGGCAAGACAAGAATGAAGATGGAAGAAATGGGTAGTTACTAAGTAGTTATTGCTGTATTTTTTCTTCTATAAATAGCCATTAATGGCTACATTGTAAAAGGCCAGAACTTAAATCAAAGACAATTGATTTCAATATTTCTTGTTATTTTCCTTATCTTAGGAGTAGTTTAACATAGATTTATATTTCGAAGCATTTATTTTCAGTATTTTCATTTCGAAGCATTTTATGTACTTTCTTTTCGAAGCATAGGAGTAGAGGTAAGTATTTATTACTTTGATTGTTCACTCAATCATCTTTCTCCGTCCCTTTTTCTTCTTTTACTTTTTCTTTTCGCTACACTTGGCAAATTTGAAGTCCTCTTCGTTGAGGCAAAAGAACCGTCAACACAATCGCTTGGTAATTGGCTTGAATTTAATCTGTAAGGATTTTTCAATCCTTGCTGGCACGCTCGCATTTATGATATTTTCCTTCGTAGGAAAAATAAGCCAACACATTGATAGAAAAGAAGCTATCCCATGGCACATCTACCGATCTAAAATGGAAAGCTGAGGAACTAGAACGCTCACCTCTCAATCCTATCAGAACTTGTGTTACAAGGACTCTTCTATTTCTCCCACAATACCCATGTGCACCAGATGTGACATGGGTAAAGGTGTAGGATATGTGTCCAGCACTCGTACCCAACTTACATACTTGGATCCTTTAATTTGTTACAATATATGAGAAGAAGAAACTCACATTTGCTAATAAAGCAATATTTTTAACCTCTCACATTAATTAAAATATAGAAATTTTATATTTTTCCCTAAATCCTATTCAATGTCAAGTATATTTCTATATAATTTACAACATTTCATCTGAGATTATTATATAATGTGTAATATATATGTGTATATGATGTGTTCCCGTACCCATATCCAAGTGTGGATACATATCTCAAGATCCTAAAATTTAAATTTATGAAGGTCTGATGGTTGAATACACATCCACACCTGATTCGTACCCGAGTCTATGTAACATAGATCAGAACCATACACCTCTGCAAGTCCGTTTCATCTTAAGTTTTATAAGATCAAATTGCCAAGACACAATCAATAGGCAACTTCATAGATAAAAGGGGGACCAAACAATGACATAGCAATCAAATTATAATATAAAAAGCATGTCCTAATTAAACGAACTTTCTAGAAGTAACGGCCAGTAGTATTGGAACTCACACTGCTACGGGAGTTGAATGTTCTGCCAGGGCTTTTGGTTACACATAATCCACCATGATGGGGGTGATTCTGTTGATGTGGGCCCATGCCGCTCTGCCTGATTCTCACTTGACTCGCATACCTGATCTTGTTTGTGGAGTGACCTAGAATCAACCACCGACATAAAACAATTCATCGATGGTCAAAACATGGACCAGATGTTTTACCACCAAAAACAATATAAATAAATAAAAGGATCTATGAAGGTAAGATGCATTTCTTTCATTTGTGATGTACTGAAAAATAACTGAACCCTTGATAGCAAAAATGCAGATCTGCGGTCCTTTACACATTGATAAACATGTTCATTCAATTATCAGAGGCCAATGCAGATAGGCAGTTCCTTAAATAAAGGGGGTCCTGGACAAAACAAGACATGCATGGGGCAGATCCCAGTTGGGTTCTTTCAAATAGAAAATTTCCAGAGAACAAATATGAAATTGAAAAAATAAATAAATAAATAAAAATCATGATAACTTCTGCAACATACAATGCATACGCTGAAATTGCTAATATCAATTAAGTGTACCATACAAAAAATTAAATTAATCTTATATGCCAACAAAAGTACACGAGGCAAGGGGGATAAATATATGTATATTCTTTTCCATATCGAAACTGCATCATATTTTTGTTCAGTTTCGCTTCTGCTTTACTTTGTATTCGCATTGCACCAACAAAAGTGTTTGCACAGCTAACAGAAACTAAACTTGGGGCATGGATGGTTAATGAATGAGAGACCAAGCTTCAGTCTTCAAGCAGCAATCAATGCATATATTTTCTTGCTTGCTTTCAAGGCCCCCACTTAAGGGAAAAAACCTATGAAGCACGAATACTTCAAATAGAGTGACGTATCCGTATCGTATCTGTATCGGATACCGATACTCTTTGTATACTCGCGGATACGTATCGGATACTTATTAAAAGTATCGGATATTTCTTAATTATTTTTTCATTAACTTTGGAGTATCAGATACTTAATTTTGAAGTATCGGATACTCCAAGTCATGTTTACTTGTTTTATGAAATTAGAATTGTAACATTTCTTGCATAGTAATATAATATAATATAATTGCAAGCATAAATATAAGAATATTTTTTTAATACTTTGTTAAGTTCTTCGATAAGAAGAGCATAGTGAGTTAAATAATAGAATTTATCAAATTGATGTATCCTAATTATTTCATGCATGTCCTCTATAACTACATAGAAAATAAGAATTAACAAGAGAATATAACAATGGTAAAATTAAATATCAATAAATAAATAAGCAAGTAAACTTGAATATAATATTTTTCACTAGTGTCAAAGGAAAAAGCATACGGACAAGTTGTAAATTGTTTTATTATTGTAATATAAATATATTAAACTTGAAATTGAAATAAAATATTTACAAAACCTATTAAAAATTTAAAAAGTAAACAAGCTATTAGCTTAACTTTAATACAAAATTCTTAAAGGTTAGTATTTTGCATTATAAAATTACATTGTGGTTTCTCAACGTTCTTTAGCTTACGTGTAACTCACTTTTAATAATTTTAAAAAATATGTTGTTCACAAACGTATCCTAGCCGTACCGGTATCCTATTTTTTTAGATTTTGTCGTATCGCCGTATCCGTATCGTGTACTACCCGTATCTCGTATCTGTATCTATGCTTCCTAAGGAAAAACAAATCTAAGTTACCAACATTTTTGAATTATGGAGGACTTAAATCCAACCAAAATACTTCCTGCAGGAAGTTTTAAACCAGTTGCAAATTAAACATACTAGTAAAACCGCAAAACACCAAATTGCAAATTAAGTTTATTTATTTTAGAAGTGGTGCCATACAATAGTGTGTGCGCATGAGTGTAATATAACTGTAGCTTCAAAAATTGTAAATTTTGAATGGTGAATTTTACAATTTTACTCTTATAGCTAGGGCAAATGAAAAAATTTCAGACAATCAAAGAGCGGCTTTTGTTGAACAATTTTGAAAACAAAAAAAGCATCACACTTCAAAAAAAAAAAAGTGCCAACACCAAACTGACCTATTTACTTTAATATTGTATAATGTACATATATATTGATTGGTATGTTAACACACGGTGGAGTTTGAGCTAGTCTGCAACCTTATCCTCGATCACATCTTTAGGAGGGAGGAAGTTCCATTTGAGCTAGAACTCATTGGAATTAATGTATACACATGTAGATACATAAACACATATACTCTCCTTAGTGTTATAGAAAAAGAGAAAAATATGGAATATAGTAATAGTGGCCAAACTAGACTAGTAGTATAATGTGCATATTGTAATACTTTTTAAGAAAGAGACCAACACATTTGTTTGAACTTTTGACCACATAAAAAGAAATATGGAACAAGAAAAACTCAACAAGATCTAAAGCTAATTAATTTTCAGGGCAAAATCCACTTTATCTCCATGGTATGGCCTGGTAGCACTTTACCCCATCTTTTAAAAAAAAAAACCCACATATACCTCCCATGTATGTGGTTTTTTGACTAAAGTACTACTCTTACATTTACCGTCTAAATAGATGAATATTGTGCTACACACACTTCTTTATTTTCTTTTTTTTTTAATTGGCACCAGGTTGTCTGAATCAAAACCCGACTAATCCCCAAGGGTGCACAGGCCCTTGGCAAGGAGATTTCCGCAAGTGCACCACGGTTAATTCAATGATTTTTTTCCAGTCCGATGGCCCTAAGGAATTGTTAGTACCTAAGAGGTTTCGATTCCTGAACCTTGCAGGGAGCACACCCCCAAGGCCCAAAGCCTTGCCACCAAGCCAACCCCTTGAGGTTACTAAACATGCTTATTTACAGAGTGGGAAAGAATTTTTTTTAGTAGAAGGCAAATGCCAATGTTTAAAAACATATTTATCTTTTTCTTCATCTACTTCCTTCAAACTCCAAACCAACCCTAACCCACCTATCCCTCCCACCACCACCACCCTCTCTAGCCACCTCTCCCACCATCCGTGATAGCAATGTTAAAATTTTGATTTCTGCAAATGACTAAATCTCTTCACTCCAAAAAGAGAGGACCAAAACCCTAAGAACATAAATCAGTCAAACGAGATAACAAAGTTGTATTTTTGTTTGAAAAACCAAATGCTCTGATAAAAAAGCACAGTTCAATTGCTTGTATTTTCAACGGAAGAATTATCTGCTCTCTCCAGGTGTCTCTCTCTTTCTCACTCTTTAACTTACATGCTACTTGGATTTATCATATATCTTATTAATAATCTTACTGTTGGCTTAGATTCAGAGTTTCATAGTTGTCACGACCCCAAACTGCCCCTACTAGTTTGGTGCCGTGATGGCCAGTAATCCGGGATTACCAAAGGCCAACCTCCAAAAAATCCACACACAATCAGAGTATAAATATATATATGGGGCTCACAAGTGCGGAAGCATTAATTTCAAAATACAAGCGGTCCATAAGAGCAGTGCGTAAGTTACATGAAATGGCATACAACTTGAATACAATACAATGAAACACAAAATACATTTTTCATCTTGATCAAAAGGCTTCTCCAGCCGACATGTGTAAATTGCAGACATTATAAGCCGAGAAGCATAGTTTTCAAGACTGCCGACATGTATACAAGTTAAGCCGACATGACAAAACCCAAACAAGCTTGCGAGCCACACCTAGGCGTCACCGCCTTCCTACTCATCACCTACATATATATAGAGAGGGTGAGCTTGGATACTCAGTGAATGGTATAAGAAATAAAGGGGTTTGCATGACTGGTATTCAAGATCTTTATCAAACAATACATAACATAATTAGTGCAAGTCAAGGGATGAGCCAAGTCCATCTTCTAATTCTGTGGATATCCCAAAGACGCTTACAAACATCAGTATAATACAAGTGATGACATCTCGGCAAACAAAACCCACGCGGATAAACCTCAGTGGCAAACAAGACAAACAAGCAAGCAAGGGAGATATCTCAATTCAATGGTGTCGTTGCATTATAGTCCCCGGACACTAAGGACTTGTGCTACTAATGCTTAGAGTCCCCTAGCACGTACGGACTTCCAAACTTTGTGCTACAAGTGCTTATAGTCCCTTAGCACGTACAGACTTCCAAACTTTGTGCTACAAGTGCTTATAGTCCTTTAGCACGTACGGACTTCCAAGAATGTCATCAAACAAGATTATATATTTTCCAATTAGAAATAACCATTCATGCTTACAAATACTTTCCAAAACGAAGCAAACAAGACTTTATCAAGCATTATAACATAGCTTTATTAAAATACCATCACTTAGTTCTTCAAACGTCGGGGTCAAGGCAAGTCCAAACCCTACAAACACATGCAAAATCTGTTGAATGCACCTTCAAACAAGTTTCACATGCATGCAGATGATCTCGGCATTCCTCAGGACTAAGCCAAATCAAACAAATACAGTTCTTTATCTCGGGAAAATATGCTGGACAACTACCAGGTCTAGGCCGAGGTCCTACACCCCTTGCCGAGGTGTTGCCTCGATGGCCACATTCAAGGAAATGAAGTCGGGAAAAATCTGGGTTTCCCCTTTCTTGAAGAACATGATGAACATGAGGAAGATGAATGCAAAGATCGTGATTTGCTATTACAAAATCTGAGATTTCATGCTATGAGTTCAAAAACATGGACCTGGGTACCCATATTCAAAGATCTAGTGAGAACAAACACAAAAACACAAACACGAAGCTTAATGCAAACTTTCAGATCAAACGAGACTTTTCTTTCAAGAACACATGCACACCATTTTCTCTTTCTAAAGCCAACTTTAAATCGATGCATGACATGCAAAACGGGTTCGATCATGCAATGCAGCTAGATAATCAATAAGAATGACAGGAATAGATCAAGAATCTAACCTCAACACGCGAATCTAATGGTTTGATCTCTAGGAATCAAGCTCGAAACTCACTCTCTCACTCTAAACTTCTTCTTCTTCTTCTAGAGCTTCTCTCTCCTCACAAACAAAGACATATAGCAAATGATACATTTCTAAGTCTGCTGGCTGACTTAACCCTCTACAGAGGCACGTGGCAGCGGCTGGTTGGTGCTACACAGAAAGGTGGCTGGGTGACAAGACAAAATTATGACAAAGTGTGTTCAACAAGCAAGACGGCATGGGCACTCTGGCGAGTAATGATCTCGGCTAATAACAAGACATCGGCAAGTAGGGAACAATGACCTCGGCTAGGAAGGACAACACTTGACTAAGCTATGCCACACGTTAGCCTAGATGTGCCACACCTCGGTCTAGGTCATACCACTCCGAGACAGGATCACTTGGGTGTAAAAGTAACATCTCGGCCTAGATGATTCACACCTCGGCCTTGGTGATGAACACCTCGGCCTAGATAATGACATCTCGGGCAGTATGTCAAAGCAAAGGTAGAAGTCAAACAAGGTGGTTCCAAGAAAGTTCTAGACTAAAGACGACCTCGGCTAAACTCTCACCAAGCAAGGTGCAAAACATGCTGTAATACATAAACGAACAAGGACAAGACTCGAAATGCAAGTTTACAAGACGGAATCACATAAATGCATATAAGTATGGTTAGGATAGCGTAAGGGTTATTACAATAGTTCCATCCCAGCATCTCTAATTCCATTGTCTTCTGATTATCTTCAATTTTAAAGATATTATTTTATTAGTTTTTGAATAAATTTGTAATTCATAGAAGAATTTGCCATAAGGATAATTTATTGCTTCCCCATGATTTATACCTTAAGGAGTATTGAAGCACAATTAGCATTGTGGCTTAATCTGATAATTTTTAGTTTGTGTCTAGAGTAGTGTGTTTATTGGGTTTTTACAATTTTTCGTATGCAAGAATTGGTGACCATAAACTTATTACTGCAATGACACTATGCAGGAGAGTTTGCAATGGGGAAGAATGCACATATGGTGAAATGACATGTGTATGTATACCTCCTCCCCCGGCTATGTATGTATTATATACAAATTGTATATACAAATTACTAATAGGCCCTAGTGGTTAGACTTAATTCCCATAAAGTTCTATTAAAAACAAATCCTAGTAAAATCGTTGCTAAAAATAATTTGTGACGATTTTTTGCATGTCACAAAAAATTGACAATTAGTGACTTTTTTTTGTCACGGTTTTTATAAATTGTAGTTAAAACTTACAATTAGTGACGTTTTTCTGTGACAATTTTCAAACTGTCGCTGAAAGTTAAGAATTAGTGACACTTTTTTGTGATGATTTTTTTAAATTGTTGCTAAAACTTGCCAAAACTTATAATTAGTGACATTTTTTTGTGACAATTTTCAAACTATCGCTGAAAATTAACAATTAGCGACTTTTTTTAATAGTGTATGATGAAAAATGTCATTAATTATAATAGGACTTATTCGACAATAAGTTTACTTATTAGAACCTACATGTAACTAATTAAATATGCAACTAAACTAAATTTATGTTACAAGGTTAGAAATTATATTATAAAATCAAGTGTCTTTGGGTTAATATGTAGTTTAATTGATTAAATTTGGGATTGTTAAAAAAAATGTGTAAACAGGAGAGAGAAAATAGTCAACTGGTACTAAGGTCAATTTCTAACTACCATTAATGGAGTTTGCATTGCAATTTGGTTGAAAAACACATGGGGGCAAAGTGGATTTTACACTAATTTTTAAAACAAAAAGTTACATAAATTTCTTCAAGATCCAACATTAAATTGATCCACTTGAACTTATAGTTAGCAAACCAAAGAAATGACTTCAAAAAACTTGAAAATAAAAAAGAAAAAATAACTAATAAGTCCTATTTTGTTCTTAAGATTACTATTGAGTCTTATAAAGTTTTATATGGACAATTAAGTCCTATTTCTCATAAATTGTTTCCAAAAAGTTCATTCCTGGGAACTTCTATTTACACATCCACCTTTCCCTCTTTGCACACACTTCATAAAAATTATTTTTATTATAATTTTTTTTTTCAGGTGAAATTACTATTATAGACATCAAATAAATCCATTCGGAAGTTGATTGTCGAAAAAATAATAAAAATTCGGAAGTCTACTTCCGAACCAATTGTTTATTTTCGGAAAGCTACTTCCGAACCAATTGCTTATTTTTGAAAATCTACTTCTGAACCAATTATTTATTGAAAAAGATGTGTAAAGAGGGGAATGGGTGTGTGTAAATAGAAGCTCCCCTCATTCCTCAATAATGATATATCTTATTCCAATTTTACCCCTAATTTAATATTTTATAAATATTGTTAATCTTAGTAAATTTTATTTTTTAATGGTAAAAATTATGATATTGTATTAAAAAAATCATAATTCTATTTTGTTTTAAAATTTGTCATTGAGTTATATCAAATTTCAATATTAATAATAAGTCCTATTTTCTTTTTTGTTTCATAAATTGTTATAAAAAAATTCCATTATTCATAATATTATATTTTATTTTATTTTTATTTTTATTTTTATTTTCTCATTAAAATATGAACCAAAAATTTCATAAATAATTTATTTTATATAAAATTTTATAATAATGCTATTTTTCATTGTTGAAATTAAATGAATTTTCATAAACAAAAGTATAAGTATAAGATTCATCAACTATTTCATACATTGAAAAATATATAATATATTTTTCATAATTCTTTGGAATTTTAATAGAATTTAGTCCGTTTAGATTGTTTACACTAAAAAAATTGATAAGTTGAAATATCAAAAAAAGAAAAAAATGCATTTTACTATAATTGTTTCGGTCCAACTATTATTTATGATTTTTCTAATAGAATATTAATTATTTTTACAATTAAAATTTTTAATTTTAATTAAGTTAAAATTGTTCTTCATATTTAATGAGAATGGTAAAAATGAGATAAGGAATAAACATTTTGGGAGCATTTTATGACAAATAGGACTTAGTTGTCCATATTGAAATTTAATAGGACTCAATAGCATTCTTCGGAATAAAATAGGACTTATTAATAATTTTTCCAATAAAAAAAGTACTGATACATACGTTACCGAATTTCAGTCATATGTTCGAGAGTTTAGTCTCGTTACCTATTCCCGAACAAATAAACAATTTCCAAACCTATGTTACCGAATTTCGGTCATATGTTCGTAAGTTCAATCTCAAAAAAATGACGAACAGTTTTTATTATTTTTGTCATTTTTTTCAAAAAACTTACCTTTATAAAGCCAATCTCCTCTGAGCTAAGAACACCATCAAAATTATGAATCTCTTCTAAGCTTTTATTGTTGTACTCCTCTCGTCTCATGGAGTTGTGGTTACCCAAAAAATTTTCACTCATTGTCATTGCTGGAAAAGTGTATGTAATCAAATGGTTGCTACCGTTGCCAGAATATTGCTGCCAAAGATTTTCAAGGTTTTAAAGATTGATAGATTTTGAAGGTAGGATTTGAGGAAGAGGGATGATAGGTGATGATGGAGGTGAGTATTCTCATAAACCTTAACTTGTAATGTAGTGGGTATGTGTGTTTAATTATGAGATAGGATGTCCTAAAATTATTGATATTCTTTTTAGTAATTTCACTTAAGGTTATTATTGTAATAAAAAAAAAGGGCTAAATATTGGGTCTAAAATAATTAATGGAGTGCAAATAGCAACACTCGTTCATTTTTCCATAATGAGATATCTTATCCCATTTTTACCCTTCATGTAATATGAACAACAATTTAATATTGTATTAAAACAAATCATAAATCACAATAAAAAAAATTATCAATAAGTTTTATTTTGTTTTGAAAATTACTATTAAGTTATATCAAATTTCAATATTAATAAATATGTCCCCTTTTTGTATAAATTGTTTAAAAATTCAGTTATTCATAATTGTATATTTTACTTTAATTTTATTTTTCTCATTAAAATATGAACAAAAAATTTCATAAAAAATTATTTTATATAAAACTTTATAATAAATATTTTTAATTATCGAAATTAAATGAATTTTCATTAGTATAAGATTCATCAACTATTTCATACATTGAAAAATATATAATATATTTTTCATAATTCTTTGGAATTTTAATAGAATTTAGTCCGTTTAGATTGTTTTCACTAAAAAAATTGATAAGTTGAAATATCAAAAAAAGAAAAAAAAAATGCATTTTACTATAATAGTTTCGATCCAACTATTATTTATGATTTTTCTAATAGAATATTAGGGGTTGTTTGGAGTGTCCTAAATACTTTTTGTCTTTTTAGACTAAAAAATTGAGGAAGAAAATATGGATGTTTGGGTTAACTTTTTGACTTTTTATGGAAAAATGTGTAATAAAAAATTGTAAAAATTGATTTATAGGGAAAAATTAGGATTGGGAGTTGTGCAGTCATAATTGTTGACTTTTGATGAATAGTGTTAACTTTTTAACTTTTTAAATAACTTTTTGACTTTTTAACTTTTTGGTTTTATGCCAAACTTGGCCTTAATTATTTTTACAATTAAAATTTTTAATTTTAATTAAGTTAAAATTGTTGTTCATATTTAATGAGAACCGTAAAAATGAGATAAGGAATAAACCTTTTGGGAGCATTTTATGACAAATAGGACTTAGTTATCCATATTGAAATTTGATAGGACTCAATAGTATTCTTCAGAACAAAATAGTACTTATTAATAATTTTTCCAATAAAAAAAGTACTGATACATACCTAAATGCATCTTCCTCTTCAAATGTGAACCAATCTTGTTCCTTGAATTGCATCTCCCTCTCAAGTTCAACTGAAATTACTTTCCAAAGCCTCTCTCGTTCCTCCTTTGATTGCACCAAACTCTTCAATTTATCAGCAATATTCCCCAAAAACATCAGTTTATCTTTCTCCAAATGAGCTGCCATTTCTCTCAAAAACAGTTTTTTCTGCTTCCTCTACAAAAACAAAATGATAATCACCAAAAGGCATCAACCTCAGTTAAGTACAATGGTATTCTGCAAGCTCTAAACAAGAACACATATTTCCAAATTGAGAACAGACAAAAAGGCCGATGATCTATTTTTCATGGACTCGTCTAAGGATGTAAGGTGCGAGTACAGTATTTGACTCACCTAATATTCAAAACAATGTCAAGGATCCAAAAATGGGTGCCGATACTAAGACACATCCCTTGAAAATTATTGTTTTTGTAATTTTGTAATCTATTTAGGTCAATCAAAATAATGAAAAGAACACTGACTAGAAACAAAAGGGGCCCACAAGATAGATCATCGATAAGTTGAAATTTAGAAACCTAATGACAACCCACTCATCTCATGACATAGGTGTTGGGCCCAATTCAACGGCCCAAATTTGTTGAACATACTTTAAAATTAAATTTGACAGACACAATAATTGTATAGCAAATCAATTTATGAAGCATGCAGGCATTTTATTATAAAAAAATTCCCTATGACTGGCTGCACGCTTGGGGGAAATATATATTGCATTATTTTCTGGAATTCATAGATCTTTGAGCTTTTGACAATAATTTGCTGAAACGATGAATTGTACACATCCTCTATGTTAATAAAACTGCATTACTGTTACCAGAAAAACAAAATTATTTTAGCATACAATCCATTTATGCTGTGTTTGGTTGGGAGATTTGGGGAGGGATTTAGAAAGGGAAAGGAAAAAAGTGTGTGAAACTAAGTGAAATGTAGGTACATTTTATTCACATTTCACCTAACTTTTCCCTTTTCCTTTCCAAATCCCTCCTCAAATCCTCCAACCAAACACAACGTTAAAAAGTTCACGAGTAACTAGAGCTGGCACAGAGGCAGAATACAAAGAGAATTTGGATTAACATGCAAAAGCAAGTCAGAAGCGAAGGAATTAGCTACCAGTTTATAAACACGATGCTTGAATTGAGTTAAATCATCATCAACAGGCATCCAATCATCCAACTTACGACCATCATAAGGCGCCAGAGATACCAAAACCCTTGCAAAGAACTTCCTGGGATCAGTTGATTCACCCAGTGCTTGTAAGGTAATAAGGTAGAAGACCATGAGCATTGAGGGTCTAACCTTGATGGCCTTTATCACCCTCACAAATCGAAGAGGAGGTTCATTCTACACAACAAAAATAAGCTTCAATCAAAGAAATTCTCAGTTAACGTAAATGAATCCAAGAATCAAACAAAAAAGAAAAGCATCTCAAATTCATCGTTCCAATGATATTCTTATGAAAATCAGAATTCTCAAGCAAGAAATGAAAGACAACCATGCGACACTAAAATGTATCTAACCCAAAGTTGAGGGACAGAAATATAGAGGTGTTTCTGACAAAGATTATCTATCATTTCTTTTTTTCTTTTTTTTTTGGATAAATAAAAGATAATCTATCATTTCATATGTATCTATTATTCTAATTCCCAGACAAATGCTAAATCACAAACCATTAATAAAGGCAAAGTACACTAAAGGACATAGAAAATCTAACATCTAACAATGAATAGCTCAAACTCCGACCAATCAAACTGTAGATAACAAACAACAATAATATGCAATGACTCCCATACAAACAAAAGGTGATAGTCAAGTTCTGAGCAAATACTAGAACTCGAATTAAAAGAAAAAAACTATACCTCTTTCTTGTTCTTATTGTATTGATCGACAGCGAATTCTGCAATAGTTCGAGTATCATCATCGTCAGTAGCTCCAATAACATCAGTGAGATTCATGAAATTCATACACTGAGCATCATACTTAACGCCACTGGATTTAAGAGACGTCCCATAAAATGCCTCAAAGATCTTGCGGCCTTCTTCATCAACGTCAACAATCAATTGATTGTGTGAAGGAAACCATTCCTCCACCGACCTCATGCAACACGAAACCCGCAGCATTTTGTCCTCTCTCTCTCTCTCAGTACTGCTTAAGTCATGACAAATAAACAATAAAAAATAAAATGCTAAATGCTAAAAAAGACGCGTGAAATTTATCGCTAATAAATACAAAGCAAAATTTATTATAAGGAATTGCAAAGTGATGCATTTGAGTAATACTTTCGAGAATACAACTATATAGACCAATGCAAATATTTGATATTTGGCATATACACAAAAATAACCAACAGGGGGCCACCCAAGGTTTTAAAAAGCGACTGCAACCGTTACGTAATGCCGTTACGTAAGGATTGTGGTGGTTACTGATAAGCTACATCAGTCCAAGCCAGCTCAAACAGATCAGTCAAAGACAGCATCAAAGACAGAGCCATCCAAGCCATCTGTTGAGAACACTCAAGAGCTGAGCACGTGTATAAAATTGAGACAGTTATCATCCACTTGTGGTGGTTAGAATAAATCTGTTAGGCTGTTATCTAAACTCAACTATAGTTAGTTAGTTAGGATATTGAGTTAGATAGTTATAATTTCTGTATAAAAAGAAAGCTGTAGTTGTATGTGCTAATACATTTTTGAAATGAGAATCTGATATTTTCTACAATTCATGATGCACACGGCAATTCTGTTCCAAATCCAGCATTTACGCATTGAATCACCATTGATACACATTTGTTGAGTTGTATTACTGCTACACTTTCACCATCCATCTTCACGTCTGTTTTGCACTGTGGAACAAGTACAGAGGTATGGAATACACTGGCTACTCGATTTACATCTCTCTCTCGATCTCATATTCATCAGCTAAAGAACAAGCTCAATCATTTGACAAAGAAGAATCTCACTATGGAGGATTACTTTAATCAAATCAAGGTTGTTTCTGATCAGTTGAGTTTGGCTGGTTCACCAATTGTAGATGAAGATTTAGTTTTACTCACCTTAAATGGTTTACCTGATGAATATAATGCTTTCAAGACAACTATTCGTGCAAGATCTGAGCCTATTACAATTTCTGCTTTGTCTGCTCTACTGTGTTCTGAATCTATTCACATTGACACCTCTCTCAAGCACACTCATGCTTCTGATCTGCCTTTTGCTTATGCAACTACTCGAGGAAATTATAGAGGTTTCAGAAGTTCTCAGAGAGGAGGATATCGAGGTTATGGCTCATATAGAGGTCGAAATGGCAACAGATTTTCACAAAACAAAGGTGGAGGCAGAACTTCTCAGTTCCAACAATTTTCGTCTCCACATCAGTCTTCTGTTCAATGAGGCAGACCATCTTCTCAGTTTCAGTCTCAGTTTCAATTTCCACATCAGTCCTCTATTGGTTCTTTGGTCTGTCAAATTTGTGGAAAGCCTAATCATTCAGCTTTGGAATGTTGGCATAGGCTTGATACAACACTTCAAGCATCTAAAGCTCATCCCAGGGCTTATGTTGCCTCCTCATCTACCAATATTATTCCTGATTCTCCTATGCATACAGCAGAAAGTTTTACTTGGTTCTTAGATTCTGCTGCTTCCAATCATTTCACAAATGATCTCAACAATCTGAATACTTACCAACCTTATCTTGGTTCAGATCAAGTCACTGTGGGAGATGGTTCCACTTTACCTATTCTTCATACTGGTAATGGCATTCTTCCTACTCCCACTGTACCTTTCACACTTAACAATTTATTCAATGTTCCATCTATTTCTTCAAATCTTCTGTCAGTTCACCAATTCATTGTTGATAACAAATGCACCATTACTTTTGATGTTGACTTCTTTGTTATACAGGACAAACTTACCAAGAAGGTTCTGTATAAAGGAGGTTTTTCTCATGGTCTTTACCATCTACCAGCTTCAGCTTCATCTTCTCTTCCAGCACCAACTTCTTCATTGTCCTCTCCACCTGTTTGTCTTCATTGTTCCACTGAAGATTCTGCTCATCATGCTTCTCTTTGGCATTCTAGACTAGGACATCCTTCCTCCAAGAAGTCGAATTGTCTTGTTTCTAAGCATCATTTACCTATTGATAGATCCAAGCTCTTTCATGGCAAAAGTAGAATGCATATGATGAACAAGTTGAGCAATTTCAGAAACATCACTACCAGTTAAAAGGATATCATCAACATAGATAAGTAAGATAAGAATAGAAGAAGCTGATTTCTTAACAAAAAGAGAAGAATCACAGTGGCTAGAGAGAAAGCCATGAGAATGAAGAAAGGTGGAAAAGGTGGAATACCAAGCCCTTGGGGCTTATTTCAGACCATAAAGAGATTTGTGCAGTTTGCAAACCAAAAATGAGGAGAAGATACATCAATGAAGCCTTGAGGCTGATGCATATAGACTTCTTCCTCAAGGACACCATGAAGAAAAGCATTTGATATGTCAAGCTGCTTGATAGGCCATTGGAAATGAAGTGCCAAGGTTAAAAGAATCCGAACAGTTGGTTGTTTAGCCACAGGGCTGAATGTCTCATGAAAATCAATTCCCTCTGTTTGAAGAAAACCCTTAGCAACCAAACAAGCCTTATATCTTGCAATTGTACCATCTAAATTTTTCTTAATCCTGTACACCCATTTGGAACCAATAGCAGATTTACCAGGAGGTAAGGGAACAAGAGACCAGGTGGCCTGGTTTTGTAAAGCTTGGAATTCATCCAACATGGCAGCTTGCCATATAGAAGAGTGAGCTGCCTCTTGATAAGTAGATGGTTCAATATCCTCAGAAGGAACAGTAGTAGAGGCTAAGAAACAAGTTGACACAGTTTTGGTCTTAGATCTGGTCTGCATTGAATGGTGATTCTGAGAAGGTGAATGGAGAGGCAAGTCTATAGAGATAGAGGAAATAGGAATTGATGTTGTAGAAGGAGTGATGGGTGTAACAGTAGGAAGGGTCATTGGTGCAGCAAAATGAGAGAGTGGTAAGGTTGCAGCAGCAGGAGGTGCTGGTGCTGGACAAACAGAATTAGGAGCGGCA